CCACACTCCAGGTCTCGGTGGCCGGCTCAGCACACCCAGGGGCAGGGCCAGCAGGGCACGGGGATCAAACCCCTGTGTGCTTGCCTATGCAGGCACTTAGTTCGCTGAGCTAGCTCACTGGCCCTATTTGGAAACTTTCTTCTCTTTCTGAATTGCCCTCCCTGCCTGCCCTTGGGCTTTATTGTCAGAAAACTGGCTAATCCACTGCTCATTTGACAGCAAAAATGAAGTACAAGAAGGAGGGGGGCAGAAATACAGAAGGGAAATCTTACTTTAAAGGAGTGGAATTCTGATTAAAAGGTAAGTAGCAGCAGAGATTTACTAGTTTTAAAAAAGAATTTTGGGGGCTGAGGAGATAGTTCAGTGGCATAATCCCCTGCCTGGCAAGCACAAGGTCTTGAGTTTGATCCCCAGTACCATAAAAAAAGAAAGAAAGAAAAAGAAAAAGAAAAAAGGATTTTGGGTAACGCCAACTTCAAACGTGATCACTTAAATCTGGAGAATATCAGTGTTATGCAGCAAACATGTTTTTGTGATAACAAAGACTATGTAAACCAAGGCTATCACAGTGGATTGACAAGCCACAGGCAGAAGGATGTTTTTTGAGGTGTCCTTGGTTGTTGTAAATCACCATTCCACTTTGTGCTAATTCAAAATGCTTAATAAACATTCAGCTTAAACCCAGGGCTGCTGATACTATGATTCCACCATGGAAAGCTGAAGCAAAAGGTAAGGGATTCGTCCGGGAACCTCTTGCCTTAGACACGAACCCATACAATACTAGCATTTCCAAACTCAAGACTCAAGACTGTGTAATCTATTTAAAAACACATCATCCAAAACAGGCAAATCTACAGAGAGAAAAGCACATTAGTAGCTGTCTCTAGTGGGGATGTTTGGAGTAACAGTGCTAGCTAATGGGTGTGAGATTGCCTCTGTGGGTGATTAAAAGGTTCTAAAATTGATTGTGTGGATGGTACATTCAGTTCTGTGAAGTCACTTAGATCACTGAAATGAATACATTAAATGGAAAGTTATGTGCTATGTGATTTATCAGAATTTTAAAAAAAAACATAGTTGTAAAAATTTATTTTCTCAATTACTTTAAGCTGACTGGTGAGGCAGAATTGGTTAAGAGAGAATTTATACTCTCAGGACAGGGACAGCGTGGACAGGTCCTGTGCTTCCGGCCCAGGGATGACTGCCTCCTGGCACTGTGGAGAAACACGACAGCAGGACACTCGGTCTTCTTGGGTAAGAAACTGCTCAAGAAAGACCCAGATATTTTTGTTCATCTGGCAACGGACACATCCTGGCAATGGACACGTCCTTTCCATCCCAAACTATGATAGGATTTTGGCAACTTCTGCCCTGAAAAATGAGGCCTAAATAGTTGAAATGGTTTCATGGAGTTGAAAGCCAATGTACTAAACTCCATGAACTTTATTAAATGAAAACGCTCAGTCCTGCATTCTGAGTTGATGAGGGCGGGTATGAAGCTAAGGCGGGCTGTGTATATACACAAGCTCCACACAGGGGATGGAAGCCTGGCGAACTGCGGACATGGGCTAATAAGTGACAAATGAATAAAATAAAATAATTCTAACATGCCCGCATCTATTTCCTCAACTGGAACAGACCAGGAGCTATGAGGCAAACTGGACTAGCTTGGAGGTGACTGCTGACAGAGCCAAGGACGCAGCTCAGCTGCAGCGTTTGAACAACAAGCACATGGCCTGGGTTTGAGAAAAAGAAAGAGGTGACTGTTAGCAGCCACAAGCTGCAGACACCAAGTGCTCACAGGGGTCAGCTGCAACGCTCCCGGGGCTGTGTTTCTGAATTACCAAGAAGGGCCTAAACTATGACTTATAATGCTCTGTCATTCTACAGATTCACTCAGAAGTTAACCTTTCAATGTGGGCTATGAAAATAAAGAGTTAATCCATAGCTCCTGAATCAACATCAATAAACAGTCAATTAAATAGCTACAGAACATCTTGTCAACTTTACTAAATACTATATTTGGCATTCATAAAATATGAATGGCATGGGCTGGGGAGATAGCTCAGTGGTCTAAGTGCCTGCCTGGCAAGTGCAAGGACCTGGGTTTGATCCCTAGTACCATATGCTGTGCCAGCCCTGGAACCCTAGGCATGCTGTGTTGACCACTGAAACCGGGCATGGTGGCTCATGCTTGTAATCCCAGCACTGGGGAGCTAAGACAGGAGGATCACTATGAGTCCAAGCCTCTGTGAGACCCTGTATCAAATAAACAAATAAATAAGAGATTTAAAAGATAAATAAAAATGTGAATGACACATGAAAATAACTGTAGGTCTGATCTTTCTCAGGGTACGAGAACTACTGACCATGGATGGCAATTGAAGGAAAAAGATCATTCTCTAAAGATAAACTAAATAAGCTATTTATAGCTAAGTACTTTTAAAAGCAATGTTTAAAAATCCCTTCAAAATTTTTACAATGAAGGTCTCAGCTCAGGGCGGCATCACCTGCTCATAATCTCAGCACTCTGGGAGGGTGAGGCAGGAAGATGCCATGTTGAAACCCATGCTGGGCAATTTAATGAGTTAGCGAGGCCCTGTCTCGAGGGGGTGGGCTGTGGCTATAGAGCGTGACAGCCCTGAGTTCAATTCCCTATACCTCAAAAGTCTCTGAAATTGTGAGCTGTGGTCCATTTTAACATTTGATATGATAGGCATTAGATGGACAGTACTTCTAACACTAAGCCTTCTAGAATGGCCTGTGACCTTGTCCCTCCCCTGGAACCTTCCCTCTTCTATGGTACATCAACCCCTCCACCCAGCAGAGAGGACTCATTTCTCCCTGCTTCAACCACCAGCCATGGGGTGGCGCATGCCCCCTCCTGGCTTCCAGGACATGCCCCCTCCATTCGGGTGTAAATTGCTGGATGTTTTCATGATCTGTACTCTTGGATTATTATGAATAATAGTGCTATAAGTAAGTGCATTCAAATGTCTGTGTGACCATATGTTTTTATTTCTCCTGGGTACGTCACTAGGAGTGGAACTGCGGTGGCAGGTGCAACATGATGTTGGGAACTTCTGAAGACAGACTGTTCTTTAAAATGACTGCATCATTTTGTATTCTGCCAGTAACATGTGAGGGTTCCAATTTCTCCATGTCCTTGCCATTACATGTCACTGTCTATCTGGCTGATTACTCACCCTGGGGCAGGAGGGAAGTGGCATCTCATTAGGTTTTCCTTTGCATCTCTGACAGCAAATGATGTTGAGCACCTTCTTAGGTGCTTATTTGCATTTGGATATCTTCTAAGAGAAAGGTCTATTCCGATCCTTGCTTGTTTTCACACTGAGTTATCTATCATTTTATTCATGAATGCTTACCTGTTTTCTTTTCTTTTCTTTTTCTTTTTCTTTTTTTTTTTTTTTTTTTTTTTTTTTTTTTTTGTACCAGGGATCGAATTCAGGACCTTGTGCTTGCCAGGCAGGTGCTTACGCTGCTGAGCTATCTACTCAGCTCCAGTGCTTATCTTTTACAGATGTACAATTTTCCACTACCTAAAGTAAATAAAACCTTGGTCAGTTTTGGATCCTTACTGCAGCCGCTTCCTTTAAAAATGTTCTTTTCGAGTCGAGTTTCTCCACTCAGTTTCCTAGACTGGTTTCTGCCAGCCGGCCCCTTTTTTCCAGCCTGTTGCAGTCTAGCTCCTGAACCTAGCGCTCTTCTGTAGCTGTTCTCAGCAAGGTCACCACTGGCTGCTCTGCGTTCTTAGCTTGACTTCCTGTCCTCCTTAGCACTATCGTCTTCTTCCTCTGTACTGAAAGACTCTGAGGTCCCTGGCCTAAGTGACACCATCGGCTTCTGATTTGTCTCATGGGTCTCCGCTGTCTCCCCGGGCGCCTGCTATTTTGCTCATTCTTAGATCTTGGCCATCTTCAAGAATTGGTCCTCACCGCTGGGCAATGGCGTTCATTCCCAAAGGTTCAATTACCTCTTACTGCTGGTGACAATGAAATCCCACCTACCCCTTCCACCTCGACTTCCTCCAGGGTTCCCGGGCACACACCTGTCTAATCCACACCTCTGTTTGGGGTCCCTTCGGCACTCAAACTTTATCCCAAACCAAACGTTTCATCTTTATTCCTCCTGCCTTTCCTTCTCACACAGTAACATCAATTACCCAAGTCTGTCAGTTTAGACAAACTTGAAATCCTCTGCATCCCTCTACTTCCTCCTATCCTCACGGAGCAGGAGAGGACCCCAACACCCTCCTCCTTGGTCTCCTAGGCCTGGCCGCACACGCCTCTCCAGCAGCAGCCAGTGATCTTTCCAATCTGCAGACCCGCCCTGTCATCCTCTGCTCACCGAAGGGGCTACCGTTAGGAGAGACAGAACTAGTGTCAGATGCTCCGGTTTCAGTCTTACACTGTGAACCTTACGGCAGCAAGACCGTGCGAGAGTTTAACTCTATGCCTTAGATTTCTTACCTAAAAGAAAAGAGAAAAAGAAAAAAAAGCATAGCAGGGCCCCTTTAGAGCTTCATCTCACAGCCCTTCCCGAGATCGAGTTCGACCTGTGATAGTCCACTCAACTAAGATTCAATCCTTACACTCAAGGCAAATCAGGGAACACCGGGTTGGCCCTAAAATGTGCGGAAGACACGGAGCGACTTTTAAAAACTCTTTCCCAGGCTCACGAGGACGCTGGAGCCTGACGACCGGCTGCAGCTGCGCGGGGGGGCGCAGAGGCTGGGCATCGGGAACCCCAGGCCGCAGGACGCTGGGCTCCTTCCCGCCTCCGCCCTGACCTGATACCCGGCGACAGTGCGCCCGCCCGCACCGCGCCCCCAATCGTGGCCCTCCGCGCCCCAGCCCGGGGAGCCCCGCGGACCCCGAGCGCCCGGGCACCTCTGCGCGCCGTCTCGCTGCGGGCCCGCCCCACCCGGCCTCGCCTCGCAGGGCGCGATGCGGGCCTTCCTCCCGCGGCTGGGCGCTCACCTTGAAGGACATCCTGCACATGTCCGCGGCCGCCGGCCCGCCGGCCTCCCCGCGCCAGCAGCCTTCCGCAGAGCGGCTGCCCGCGGCGCCGCGCTCCCGCCGCAGCCCGGGCCCGGCCCTAGAGGAGGGGGAGGGAAGGGGACGGGAGGTAGGGGGTGGGGAGTGGCGCGGAGCCCGCCCCACCCGCGCCGCCGGCCGCCACGCGCTCCGCTCGCGCGCGCAGTGCTGGAGGTCGCGGCGCGCTCTGCTCTGCGCGTGCACACCCGCGCGCGACCTGTGCGCGGTCCGCCCTGGGCTTCCCTCGCGTTCACGTCCAAGCCGCGCGCGCGCATCCCAGCACACTCCACGAGTAACTCCGCACGCCGTGTGCATGTTCCACCATCCACACAGCGCGCACAGGCATCGCATATGTCCACACAGCCCCAATTTTTACACGCACACACACATTGTGCACACAGGGTTACACACCCACACTCCGCACACTTCCCTGACTTCCCCAGTAGCTCACAACCCATGCAGACAAGTTCACAAGGCATTCTCCACACTTATTCACACATATGTAGTACGCATACACGCGCGCATGGGCGCACGTCCTGGGAAAGTGTTTTCTGCATTGGCAGTAAAGACGAGGAAAGAATTCAACCACTGCTCTTTCAAATAGCTTTTATTTTTATGGGGTTTTTTTTCTTACATTTTAAGAGCGTCTCAGAATTTTTCTAAGACTGTCCCATCTCCCCAGAGATCTGGGAGACAAGCCTTTTGATTGCACAGGTGATGGTGGGGTTTGGGCTGGGGTGCAGCTCGGTGGTAGGCTGCTTTGTGTGCAGGGTACTGGGATGAGCCTGGGGTGCATCACTCCCTCACCTATACTGCTTCCTTCCCTGGGGTTGGTTTGGAGAAGTAATAATGGGAAAGCTGTATTTTTACTTAAAAATATTTTTAAAAGTATGCAATAAACAAGATACCCTTTTAAGGAAATTCAAATGCTAAGACAGAAAAGTGGATGCCTCACCCTTCACACTACAGGAATCCACTCAGTCCTTCTTGGCCTGGTGTCTCCCTCCCTATCCTTACCTGAATCAGCAACAACTAATTTGAAAAGTTTAAACGTGCAGCTACAAGTCCTAGTTAATAAGGGAAATGTGAATGTTAACCCTTGTGGATAAAAATGCATCATGTTGTGCTTAAAATAATTTAAAAATAACCTCTGAACTTCTGCCTATAGATGGTTTTCAAGTTGTGTCACATTATTATGCATGACCAAGCATGAGAAGTTTTTTTGTTTTTGTTTTTTTGCGGTACTGGGGATTTAACTCAGGACCCTGTACTTGCCAGGCAAGCTTTTATTCTACTGAGCTATCTCCCTGGCCGCAGTATGAGAAGTTTTCCTTTGTTTTGAGAAACAAAAGGGAGAAGGGAAAGGACTAATATTTTGAGGACTTTCTAGGTAGTAGGTGCTTTCCTTATGAAAATTTTATGAAGTGAGTATTGTAGCCGTTCCACAGAAGAAAAGACCAAGGTTCTGAAAGATGGAGTAATTTGCTAAAGATGGACAGGGCTAGACTATTAATTTTGTCTGGCTTCAAAGCTCTTTTCCTTTCACTACCAGACTTGCTGCTCAGAGTTGCTTTGGACAGGGTCTCTAGCCAGGGTGCTGACGGGAGTCTTGTCAGTCTCTGGAAAGAACATGCCTTATACAGGTCTACACATGCCTGGCTGCAAGAACTGTCAGTCTCCATACGTGCTTAATACACCATTCCGTGCAGCTGCCTAAAGTCATCTTTATAAAAACAGCCCCCAAATAGAACAAAGCCCTCATACTCTGAAGCAGACAGATAATTTTTTCTGAAAAGTTAATTGATTTTATTCACATTTTCCTGAATATATACAATATTAACATAAGCTAAAAACAGTATACAGTTCTTAGTGTAACAGAAAATCACCCTCCCCACCCCCGTCCGTGTACTTTAGTTTCTTAGTTGCCCAAGTTCCTGTTGCAGTTCCCGTCCCTTTTGTCTCCTAGAAACGGCAGGTCACTGCGATGCACAGCTGGTCACTATGAGCATGTTGTAAGAACCAATCCAAGACAGCCAAATACTTTGCTTTTTGCTTTCAACCTCATAAAAACACTCCCCCTCCGAGCTTTTGAGACCTGACATTTTCGGGAATAATTGATTCCTTACCAGTGCCTGTCTGACGGTAAATAAACTGCCTCCAAATCTTGGGTGACATTTTGTTGTTTCTGCTTGTCCTTGCATTAGAAGATGTACCCCAAAGCCCCCCCTGCCTGAGCTTTGTGATTATAACGTGCTCAGCCTTTGTTCTTCCAGGATTTTAGTGACTATCGTGTTCAAAACAAAATTAGAGTAACAGGAAATCTCCCCTAAGCACGATTTCTTTATTATAAAAGAAATCCAGTGGGCGGACCTTACTGTCCTCAGTCAGGTATCTGGCATTCCAAAATGGAAGCAATTGTTGAAGGAGTGAGCAGCGCCTTTTTATTTCACACTACCAGGGGAAGGCACACTTCCCCTTGCCTGGGGCTCGGTAGGCAGCACACCTACCCTGAATAACTTCCATTCAGCTTGTACAAAAGCCCACACCAAGAGCAAGCAGTTTTAAGTGACCAAGTCATATTCTTAGGATCACCTTTTTATAGGAACTGATCCTGGGCCACACAGGAAAGACCTTCTGTGGATCAGGCCTTGGCAGAACCAGTCCCAACCACTGTGCTGCAAACATTTTTCTACCTTAAAAATAGATGTACTAAAGGAAAAGAACACTGTTTACACACAACACACACAAACATACACACACACTCAAAAAACTCCAAAACATGTTTAGAGCAAATTGTTGTAATTTTTTTTTTTTTAATGTATTTGGTACAGGGTCTCACTTCGCAGCTCAGACTCATAGTGATCCTCCTGTTTTCAGCCTCCCCAGTGCTGGGATTACAGGCATGTGCCACCACATCTGGACTCTGTCAGCTGGTTCAGCACGCCTTGGTGGTGGGGCTGGTGTGGCATTTGGTCCTGGAGCTCGAACCCTGGTCCCTGAGCTTGCCTAAGCAGGCACTTAATCCACTGAGCTATCTTGCTGGCCCACAAATTGCTGTAATTTAGAATTTAAAATTAAAAGATTAAAAAGACCGTTAGTAACATTTATTTTTAAATGTCACCAGACCCTCAAACATGTTTAGACTTTTTCTAAAATTAAAGGTAACTGTAAACTATTTCATCCTCTTGCAGTTTGTCCCAAGAATTAGGAGTACAATTTAAACCCCATTTGTCTCCTAGTCTAACAAAAAAGTTGACCCTAAAATTGATACAACTTAAAACATTTCATAAGCTCAAAAGATAACTGCCACTTTTTAAAAAACCAAAAAGGAAAGGAAAGAAATCTTAACAAGGAATTGAACTGAGAAAGGGGAATTCATAACTGATAAATCATTACTGATTTATTTGCTCTTTGTATGCATTAAAATTTGTAGGGAGCTGCGTGTAGCCGCGCCCTAGGATGGTGCCGGTTTCCGCCTTCCACCCCCTCAAGGGGTGAGCGCTCCTGGAGTAAACAACTCCATATATGGCCAAGGCTTGGGCTAATGCATTGCTTCCTCATACCTGGACCAATGGGCAGTACACACGTGGCACCCCATGGTTGGAAGCCCTGGGACTTATAAGCTAAGAGCAGGGGCCTCGGGAGGGTAAAGAGCTGCGCAGAAAACCAACCAGTGGTCGTGTCGTTCTTGCAGGCAAGGCCGCGTGCGACAAAAATTCTTTAAAAATTGTGTTCATTTGTACTGAACTGAAACAAAGGAAGGGTGCGGGACAATACTGACTCCTAGGGCCACCTCTTCTGTCTGGAGTTTTCAGGGGGAAGCACAAACACAAGTCTGTGTTCTGAGCAAGAGAGAAGCCCCACTCTTCACAGTCTGGTGAAGTTGGGGGTCTCGTGCACCTACCTGTGAGGGCTTTGCCGCGTCTACCCTGTAGGACATTGTGAGCTATAGCTCAGTGCCCAGGCTGGATGGAAAACAACCTCCACAGTATGGCTTTACAGGACGTTTTCACAACCAGCTTCACTGTCACAAATGCCTCAGTCACGTGATCTTCTGGTACCCGAGGTGTTAATGGAGGGTTAACACCCCAATCCACTGGAATTATGAGCCAGGTTGTACTGGCCAGGATGCAGAATCTCCTCATTCAATACACACATTAGTGACTAGAACTCTCCTCATGGACGAGACTCTGCAAAGCTAAACGACTATTTGAAGGTTTTTCTCCTTAAACCGTCACAATTCTTCAGGCTGCATTTTCAACACTCAACTCAGTTGCAAGATGGCTGAGTGTGACGATTTTGTATAGGTTGAAACCAGTTTGTGTTCTGAAAACTATCGTACTTTAAACACTCTGAGGAAAGGCATCAAGGAAAAGCTCAGCCACACTCCTGACACCGTGTTTTCATCCATGTAGCTTTGGGTGCTAGGCGGGCGGGGGCCTGCGCCTTTCTGATCTCTTGCAGAGAACTCACACCAAAGCCTTCTAGGAGATCCCTTCTGCAGGATGGAGAACACGCCCATTTGATGAGAAATTTCCATGCTGCAAACCATATTTCTACCTTAAAAATAGATGTGCCGAAGGAAAGGAACACTTTACACACCACACCACACTTTCATTAAGATGTAGCCAAGATCTAGCCCCAGAATCAAACAGTAATGCATTCTAGTATGAATACTGTGCATCATCAGGACTTGGTTGGCTTCTATAGAAGAAAAAGTAGAGACAGCAGTGGGGTGGACCACATACCTAAAGTGAGTGTCTTACCACACTGGTCCCCCAAACAATCTCAATCCATTTTGCACAACTTCAGATTTTAGGTTTCCAAATGTCCCCATCAGCTATTACAGAAGAGGCCAAGGTCCACAGTGAACGTATACCAAAAGAGCAGACTGTACCTTACGTGTTCTCAAAAGAAATCTTTTTTTTAAAAAATTATTTATTTATTTATTTTTACATTTTGTTTAGAGTGTGTGTTTGTGTGGCCAGCTCAGCCCACCAGGGGGGCAGGGCTGGCTGGCATGTGGTGCTGGGGGATTGAACCGCGGTCCTTGTGCTTTGCTAAGCTTGTTCTAAGTAGGTGCTTTAGACCACTGAGCCATCTCTCCAGCCCCTCAAAAGAAATCTTGCAGTTAGAACTCATGATGCTCTTTGACTCAAAAGAAA